ATCCAATCAAAATGCATCTACCAATTCATTTATTTAATTCAGACCGATGTCATTGGTTATGTAGATTTTTAAATAAATTCCAGGTCTGTTTCGTTTTGTCATCGCTTGAAACTCTGCAAGTACCTATGCAGCACAAATAAGTACTTTTTGTTGAGTTTTTAAGGATTACGCTGTAACGGTAGAACTATATTTTTTCACCTAAAACAAAGAAAGGAATATTTTCTACAACCATACAATTCAGTGTATAATGCGCTTTGAGATTCGTACGATGAACTTTATTCCAGTACAACGCACTTGACAAAGCTTAGTTTATCCATCAAGCTTTAACATGTTTATGCATGTTACTCAAATATGGAATTACATATCGCTAGGAGAGGTTACTCTATATATGATAATTTTAAGTATAAATAGGGCAAATCGTTAGAAATGACTATACTTTAAGTACAATACAAAACATCAGCATCAGTTGGGAGGGTGACCTTGCATGCGACCAGTGCATACAGACTCTCTGCTAATTTTCCAGCAAATACTAGCTTCCCTGAAACAATGTGCATGTTACCGGCAAAGTATGAAACGTCGGCATTCTATAGAATGCCTAGACATCGTATACAATGCCGGACGAGTGTAAGCAAAGTGTGAAATATGAGAATTATTGCATACGTTTCTCTAGGCATTGTACATAATAACTAGGCATTCTGTAGAATGACAAATGCTCTTCAGGCAAAGTATGAAAAACGTTATAATAAGGCTATTATTTAAAAGACTTTATTCCTCAAAAATACTATTTTATGTTATTTTGAAACCTTAATGAAAGAGAGCTATTACAAACTGTTATTCTAAATCTGTAAAAACGTAGTGAGATGATGTTGATCAACAACATAATAAATTTGTATTTTCTGTCGGACTGAGACTGGGAATCGGAAAAATCTACCTGACAACGAAATTTAAATTCAGAAACAATCATGTTTCTCAATAATGCTCTTTTTAATACCTTTTTGTTTTTTTTCTGACAGGGTTCACAAAGGTGGTTGTACAGTTCAATTTCATTACGTGTAACGTTTTTTGCATTTGAAAGTTCTTTTAACATTCTGTCACGTCGTCCATGCCCAGCACTCAAATGAGTTTCGTGAAGTACGAGAAAGAACTCATCTCCCGTGATGTAATACTATATAGTAGTAAAACGCCTTCTTTAACAGGATAAATGAATGTAATTTTGTTTTTCACAAACATGACATCCTAGCGATTCAGCAGCCAGTAGTCCCGTGATTCCTTCTTAGTACTCATTTTGGCCTTTTTACGTCATTTATTAACTTCTGGTAAGTAGCTTGGTTCTTCGAAATGAATGGGAAATGTGTTTCATACTTTGTTTCATACTTAGAAAATGTGTGAAATATGAATCGTTTCATGTATTGCCGGCTAGTTTTAGGCATTATATACAATGCCTAGGCATTCTATAGAATGCCGGATTTCAAACTTTGCCGGTAACATACATGTGTAAATATTGTGCATTTAACCAAGAAGATTGTTTATTTGTTTTTACTTTGTAATATACTATTGTTTTCTCCTGTATTTTGTATTTATGCCATATTTTTGTACGAAATATATAGCACCAACCAGATGTCATCTTGTTGTTCACGTGACTTGGTCACACCCCTTCTCCACTACAGCCATCCTGCCCCGCCCAGTTCAAGTATTTCATCACTTCAAGCGCTGAATGAAGCATCTAACTTAAGATAGCCGGAATACAGCATGCAAATGTGCATGCTAATCGCGGCATAAGTAGAACTTGGAAAGAAACGGCTGTGCTATAGCCCTTTGATTCGATATTAGTAAGTGCAAGGGCGGGAATGAAATGCAACTTTTACAGAAATGCTGAAACAATACTTATAAAAATGACAACGTTCTTCTAATAAAACAAAGAAAAAGAAAAGATAAATATAAAATTCCATGAGAGACTGAATTTCTTTTATTCCAAATGAACAGTTTTTAGTAAATTTGCAAATATTATTTATCTCCTATTCTCATACAATTCAAGAGCATGGTAATGATTTGAATTAATTTTTAAAATATGATTTTCGAAAGCAAATAAATGAAACAATAAGCCTAAAATTCCGTAGAAGATTGAATTTCTTTTATTGAAAATGATCTGTTTCAGAATAAACTTGCAAGTATTATTTATCTTATAATGTGATACTATTTCTATACCAGAAAATATTTTAATTTAATTTTGAAAATCTTTAGATTTTGATTTAATAACATAGTTACTATTTCTTGGATTGAATAGGCACGTTGCCACTGAGTCAGAATTTAAAACTTTCTATTTACAGAAGGTGTATGAGAGGTTACTAATATTTTTAACTTGTGCCGATTAATCGGCTGAGCCTTTCAAATAAATGTAGCACTTTTACATTTAATTCCAGATGTACAACATAGTCCGTAAAATGTGCTGTGTTATCATTGTACATGTTTTCGTATATTTGTGAGTATTTACAAATGACAAAATATATTGCTGCGCTATGATTTATCAATATTAAATTTATAAATTTTTGTCAGTGTTACTCGCTGGAATACTATGTTAGATGGTACGTTTCCGACCATAGTTCGCATTTAGTTTACCATAAATAAACATTGAAACAAAAGTTAAAACACTGTTTTTACAGCTTAACAGCATAATAAAAATTAGTGAATTCACAGCTCAAGCTCAAATATAATATTGTTGCGTTTTTCTTTCTTCTGACACCAGTTGTTACGTTACGTACGGGGTTCGTGTGGATTTGGAGTGAATAACGACGACACTTGATGAAGTATCGAAACACACTTTATTAGCCAGTATTGTCAGGACAGCTCCAAAACACGTTTTACAGTCGTCGATGAACTACTATAAACACGCTGACACGATCAGCGACACAGCCTTCAGGTTATCAGGCTATCACGGTGGAGACAGCTTCCTGCAAAGCACCCGACTCTGCTTTCCGGAGTACAGCTTCCGACTCAGCTTGGTCGTTCTCGGAACTCCACGTACTTCTCGAGACTCTCCACGCTACAAATCGCGATGCACTCGACGACACACGAACACAGCTCCCGACTCTTCGGTTCAGTCGTTCCCGGAGCTCAACACGCTCTTTCAACGATGCTCTAACCGCGATACACTAACAGACTCCTTCGGTGCACTCGACGACCCACTCGGCACTCGCTGCCCGGCTGTCAACTCGATCAGACTCCGCACGGACTGACTCGCTAGACGAGACATACTCTCAATACTACTGACTGACTGCGGACTAGCAGGGTTTATATAGCTTTTGGCTTGTGTTCGAGAACATTCTGGCCTGAACCGGTAAGAATTCGTTCCAGAAGGTTCTCCATCTGTCCATGGCATATCGCCAATTTTGTTGCCAAATGTGGCAACCCTGCTTTCCCTTGCCATTTTATGGTAAACCTAAAATTGCTTTGCGGGAAAGCCATCTTACCGCGCCTTGACATTTCGTAACAATATATTCAGCGAACTCAAGAATCTGGTGCCATTTATATTTATTCAGAATCAGATGTAGTAAAATTGTAATAGTCTGAGTCAAATGCATGTTAACTATCAAGCACTCTCACCAGCAAATAATATCCTTAGAGTCTTAAAATTATGCATTTAAATCCATCAAACCCTTTCTTTACTGTTGGTAATTCATAGAACTTTCAACATTCGAAAGTTAAATACACTGTCAATAAAAGTGATTCTAATGGCATTTCAACCGTAATCTGTTAGGTTTTTTTTTAAAAAAAATCCTATACAAATTTTGATTCTACACCTTCCAGTTACATAATTGTCGGGTTGACAAATATTAAATATTTTAATAAATAAAAAAGAAGAAGACTGCACTTAATTTTAAATGCTATATTCCTGAAGCGCATGACACATTTCCACAACATAAAAAAAAGAATAATAAAGTTTCTAGGTGACTTCGACGTGTGCAACTTGTAAAACCAATTTAAATTTCCCATCAATAGCCACAAGTGATGAACAAAGATTTAATACCAAAAGAAGCTATGAGTTTTAATATTCCATCTGCTATTATAGCGTATGTTGGTAATTGTCTTTGCAATAATATGTTTTATCGCTGAAATCGGAGGCTGAAACATAGGTATGACCAAGAATTTAATGTGCAATTTATATCGCAAGAGAAAGTGATATTGTGACTTAGCTCATTGTGGCTGACAGAGAAATGTTCACAGTAATTTAATTGGCCAATACAAATTCTCAGTATGGCCTCCTTTCGTGAGACGAAAAATCCTACTGTACCCCATCGACTTGAATGGTAGCCGTGAAAATGTATTGGTGAGTTTCCATTAAAACCTTAGGAATTAATTAAGGTTCTGTACCACTTGTGTATAATATGCTATATGCAGCGTTATTATGTAAGTCAGCGGTTCTCGACCTTTTGACAGACGCATACCATCTAAACAAAAATTGAAAACCTTTAGTATCACCACCACTTTTGAACAACAAAGCTCAGATCACATAAATTTACGAGTGTTAGAGAAAAAGCTCAATCGGGATGTTGGGGTTTTAATTTTTGACTTTAATAGTTGAAGCTACTTTGCTTCTTTGCGTGCAACCTATATTTCTCTTGCGTACCACAGTTTGAGAACCCCTGGAGGGATTCACTACTGTACAGTGTCAATAACCCATCACATCTCGATCGACCAAACAGGATTGTACTTTGGACGTTTTCCGTGCCCCGAAACATCATTAGATATTACATTTCCCACATATTGTTTATATATTTGATACATTTCACATTAATATAATATATTAAATATATGAAAAGCTGTGAAAATGCTTTAACATTTTTTTTTGTTTCGTTAACATTATGTTTATTGTCATATTCCTTTTCATTATCATGTAGTGGGACATTAATGGATGATAAGCAATATTTCTCAGTTTGTGCAGTTTCAAAGACACGGTTCGTAGATACTAAAATTAAAGTAGAGAATTAAAATATGTTTCTTACCTGTAAATACAAGACGAGTTTACAAGTCAGACTTCCAAAAAACCATGTTTCTGTCACGTCCCAAAGTACGGTGGGTGGTAAGCAGACGAGGATTACCAAAAAATCCGCCAGAGCCAGGTTCACGATGAAATAGTTGGTGACAGTCCTCATGCTATGATTGCGGTACACAGACACGCAGACAAGAGCGTTCCCCACCAAGCCGACAATGAACACAGTAACATGCAGAGAAATAAGCACCCACTCATACGGTGTTGGAAAGATGTAGTCTTCGATCATAGCTAAGTAGTCTTCATCCGAGACGCAGTACTCATTGGTACAGGTTATGGAATCGTTATCCACATTGGACACATTGGGCGAATCTCCAGCGTCGTAAGCCATTTCCAGAATTTTCATAGATGAAGAACAGTTTAGAAAAATAAATAAATTTTCTTCATTAACGTCTCTAAAAGGAAAAAAGAAAAGAATTATTTTAAAAAGTGTACTCATTTGATAAAATATACAATAGTATGCTAAATTTCTGAAAATATTTAAATGCATTGAATTGTATTATTGTTTTCGTGTATGGTTATAATGTTTTGTATTACTTTACTTTTCTTTCTTTATTTGTTTATTTGCTACATTTTAGAAAAAAAAAAAATTAGGATACAATTTTTATGAAATTAAACACCACATATTTTTATATAAGTAATTATTTTTGTATTCAACTGTAAATTTAGAAATTCTGAATCCGAAATCGTATTAATTATAAAAATAGCTCAAATTACAGCATATAAAGAGAAAAACCTGTTTCTGGGCCTTGATGAAAAACCCTTATCACAACATCTGCGACATTTTGTATTAGAATATCCATTCCAGTTTTTTTTTTTTTTTTTTTTACGCGAAAGCATTGCGTACTTTCACATATACTTATGCGCATCTGTATAAAGAAAGTAGCGGTGTTTACAAATTTTAACTCTTTTGCAAATCTTAAAAGGGCATCCACCTCTCATTTTTTATCTGAGACAAATATGTTTCTTATTCCATCCTCCGCACTACTTTATTTATGGAAGTGCATAGTTATGCACCTAATTATGAGTATTTAAGTCCCTACATAAACGTCCCTACATAGGGACTTAAATATTCATATTTAATATTCTTAAATAATACTTAAGTACTCTTAAAGTTTTATATAAGTCCCTATGTAAACGCGTACATTTTGCTGTTTTATGAAAATTAAATTCTATATGAAATTATGATATACTGATGTTTGCTGGAATTATGATACCATGATAGAGATGTAGAATCAGCTGCAGACTTCAAGTGTGTGTGTGTGATTATGGCAAAGCCTCGTGGGCTATCTGCCTAAGGGGAGGGATGCCTTCGTGGAGGACTTTCTAAGGGAAACTGGCTCATATACACTTTACATATGGTGAAAACCACGAAAACGCCCATGCAGCCAGCCCGTTCGCGGGATTTCGAACCTCGGACCGAACTACCAGTGTTCAGCGACTTTACCGCTCGGTCGCTGGTGGGCCCTGCAAACGTCAAGAAGTATGGATTCTCATGGGAAATACAAATGAACAATTCATATACAAAAGTACAAATGAAAATTCTCGCATCATTAACAAAAATTTGATTGTTCAAGTTCAAAAGTCTAAATTAGTACTTTTGTAAATAGTTTGCCTCATACGTTTTCGAAGTTTACCCTATTGGTATGTAAAGTGAATATATCGCATCGCAGAAAGAGAGAATGCTGTCTTAAGCCGATGAAATCTGAAAAAAGATTTATTGCTCTGGGAGGATGTATTTAGTATAATAACATATAATTGGATGAAACACTGCTATAATCATGCATACATAGCAACAAAGCTCTATGTAGGCTAAGTTCAAATATCGAAATGGGAATGAGAAATGCTGATGTCTTATACAGAGACACTGACAAGTGACAATTGAAGGAGGACGGGGCCACTAGGTAGCTAACAGAGGTAAATAAGTATTTGTCTCGAGCCCCTTGGTCTGTGGAGATGTGTCAAGTGCTTTGTTAAGAGTTGGTACTGTGTTCGGCATGGAAGCGGCTGGGCCTCATCCCTGCTCGCGGCGGTGAATTCTGGACTACCGGATAACGACCACTAGGAAAATGTTAATCCAACACATAGTGAAGAAATGGATTCGGGTATCGGATTAATTCTTTCGGTTTTGGACTGTGATATTACAGATGACGTATTTGGAAAGAACACTGTGAAATTGTACGAAAACATTCGTAATTTTCCAATGATGTTGTTCCGCCTACTCATCTTCTCGATAGCATAGAGCAAGCAATAAGTGTAATGTGAATCGCAGTTAATTGCGAACTGCTTCGAAAAAAAAAAGACTTTACAAGGGCTTCGGGCATCTGAGTTATTTGACAAACTTAGAGATTATAATACACACACACAAAAAAAAAGCACAATATTGTTACTATGAGTATACTAAGACTTGTCATAAATTGCGAGAATATTCCTAAGTAAACCATTAGATTCACTATTGTTTGATGCCATGTATAGTGAATTATCACTGCTCATAATGCGTGCACAAAATATTAATTATAATATACTTCTATTCTTTATAGCCCTTTAATTTATACTTTTTGAGCCTCCGAGTACCAATAAATATCTTCTATCGCTTCTTATGGTTAGATTGATGTGTTGGGGAAATTAAAAGATTTCTTAACGCTTTAATTTAGAAAACAAGATAATAACAACAACCATAATAACGAAATAATAATTCAAGCAGAAAAATTAATAATAAAATATTATTAAAAGTGATTTTTAGGGGGGGTTACTTACTGACTTTACTACAGTTTCATAACTGTAGTTTATTAAAAGGCCCATCAAAAACAAAAACAAATTATGTCTTCTACACAAATGTTTATATTCCTTGTTTCAGAAAATTAAGTTCGGCTATTATATCGTCTTTAAAAAAAAGAAAATCCTTTAAATGAGAAGTTTAATTGGTCGGCGTAACAAAATATTCAAAATAAATAAAATATTCCATGCGTTATTTATTACTTAAAGATAGCTAGTACTGTCTTATATATTTATAATTATGTCTTATTTCTAATTCTTTTTCTTTTTTGATCTTGCAATTTTTCCAAGATTAAAATGAAAACGATTGATGTTTTAAAGTATATAAGGCTTTGTCTTTAAGCTTTTTTAATTTTAAATATCGGAAATTTTTGTGATCCAGAGCTCAGGTTTAAAGGTTTTAGAGATAAAAAGTGCAATGGACTACAAAATCCGAAAAGTGACCGTTTTATATCAAGCAATAAAAAGAAGTTCGCGTTGGCGTTTCTGAAGGTCAGGTACCTTGTATGGATGAAAAATCTCTTTAATAGTGCTTGAACACGTGGATAGAATTCAGAGATCCTATACCTACATCTCAATGATGAAAATATGATTACATCTAAGGGAATCAAATAAAAAATGCCATTCGAGTTATTTAGGATGGGTTTCTCTGAAATCCTTCTCTGGAAACTGGCCATTATTATCAAATTTAGTGAAGAAATGCGATGGGCAAGATCAAAATTGTCACCTGTTTTATTATCCCTAATCTGAAAAGGCATTTTATTTTTATTGAAAAAAATTCTTTTTTTTTTAACTGCTGTTTATATTCTATTTTCTTTATTACGTGATTCCCTTATATATTATCAGTATTAGTTTTCATAATTCTTTCAAAGTAAATATATATTACATCACTTTTTGATATAACCTCTCTGATTGCATATAGATAAGGGAGCCGTTTGGTTTAGCTTTGAGCCGCAGGTTAGAATTCTAGAGAAGATATGGGTAAGTCTTTGCTGCATGGAGATCCTTAAAATACTAGTGAGCTGCAAGTCAATCCAAAAGACTGGTAGAAATGGGAGACCTTCAGATCTGTACCTCCCCGGGGGACGGGAATTTTCCTTCAGAGTAATTGAAACTGAGCCATGGAGCAAGAGAAGAACCTCTATTATTACTTAAAGAATAATAATATACAAGAGAATTGTATTGTTACCTATAAATTGCCCAAGATCTAAGCCAGGGGTTCTCAATTGGTGGTACGCAAGAGAAAAAATAGGTGTTACGCAAAGAAGTATTTTGAACTATTAAATTCAAAAATTAAAACCCTAACATTCTGATTCAGTTTTTCTCTAACACTCGTAAATTTATGCGATCAGAGCTTAGTTCAAGAGTCGTGATGGTAGAAGTACTTTGTAATGGTGGAACTAAAGGTTTTCAATTTTTGTTCAAATGTTAGTCAAAAGTTAGCCAAAGCTGCGCAAACCTTGCTTCTTGGCCAAGATAAAATTAGTGGATTTGATTGATTTTACTTTCATACAAGTGAGATAAGTCACATCAACTACAATTTCATATCTCTTTTTAATATAGAATGCATGGAGACACTTAAATTATGAGTGAGCTGAAATTCCACTCGAAAGGTTCCTAGAAGGGAACGGAAAATGGGAGACTTTCGGATATGTCTCCGAGCTGGAGGTACTTTCCTTCAGAACCAGAACTGAGCCATGGGAGAGAAAGGAGACTATATTCCTACTGCCATAGATGGAGTTGGGCACATTCGTATTACCCCAATTATAAATTCCTCAAGGCCTAAGCCAAAGCCAATGATGAGTGCAAACCTTGCTTTTTGGCCACAGCGGATCTGATTTAATTTTACTTTTATACAAGTGAGATAAGTCACATTGAAATGGTGATTCAATTCTTGTGTGCAGATTCGTCTAAAACTGATATTTTTGCATTAAACTGCGTATAATATTGGTAATTTAGCAAAAATACAACTGCAATTTTTAACTTGAATATTTTTATATTTAATATTCATTTACAGACCAAGAAAAACCTACATTTATTGAGAAAATTGCAACTGTCAGAAGGCAGTAAATAATTTTATCAAATGAAAATTAACGTATTATGAAAGTGAATATATAATTAATTTTTATTCCGGGCTAAGGGCACTTTTCTAGAACAATATTAGATGCAACAATATTAGAACAATATTAGAACAATATTAGAAGTTTAAACTTATGATTAACGGCTACGAAAGGAAATTTTATTAACATGATGGTTAAAATTTCCTTTCATTTCTAGTTTGAAAATTATGAAGCTTGTATTATGAAAGGCTGCGATTATTTTCAAAACTTTTAGTAGTATCAGTTAATAAAGATTTTGCTATATCCTGTTATATGTGTTGTTTCTGTGCCTCAGTTGCACCATAATGTTTTGCGTGGCATCAAGAGTATTTATTTTAGCATATTCCACTAACCTACAAATTTTTGTATATCTTTTTCGAAACACCCTCTATTAAAATATCGAATTACAGAATGAATATAGGAACATCAGTTAGTTGGCAATAATGGCAATGGCTACTGCAAAAGTTAACTTTTCCAAAAAATTCTAGTTTAAAAATCTTAAAATGAGATACTTTATTATA